TTTTGGGAGAAATAAAGAGCCAGCCGTTGCCGCTTTTATATGCTGCAGCGTTCGTTCGTTCCAGAGCAGCCAACTCTGGTCCAAGGGCGAAGAGAGATTCGCGCAGCCCACAAGAAGAGCCGATTGAGCCTTGCGGCGGTTATTTCAGCCGCTATGCACCCACCAAAAGCGCCACTTATCATTCTGCCAGCAAATCATCTCGCGCTCGATTGGAAAGAAATGAGGCAAATCATCTCCGCGATTGACTTTGCGAGTCACACATTTGATACTTTTTTCGAATGATGAAAGTTGTGCGTGCAGGACGAGAAAAAACATTTTTGGCAACATTTCTGCTTTCAGCCTTCCCTTTGCATTTATTTTTTGTTACCTGCTGCTATGTATGTGATGACGCGACTTTTATAAAAAGCAATAAGAGCAGCTCTCTGGCGCAAGAGATCTAATGGCGTCGAGTGGAATCGCAGCAGCGGCGCGTGATATTCATCCTACTCTATGCGTGCGAGAGGATTCACTTTAATGATCGGAGTGGCTATAAAAAGCTAGCAGAGAGCCAGGATATAATTGCGTTTAATAATTATTGCCAGCATGCGAGTTTGGTTTGCTCTCTCATTGTCAGAGTTCAATTCATTTGGCTTAATGAAACTTGTGCGAGGCAGTAAAGGAAAATTGCCAAAGGCGATGCGTGCCTGCAAGAGGTGTTGATGCAGCTTTATGCGAAAGTAATTTGACCTGGATATGAGCTTTATTATCATGATATCTACATTCTATATTTAATTGCATTTTCAGTCCAGTTTCTTGTGTCTTCAGTGGATTAAAAAAGGTATTAATAGTTTTAAATTAAATTAAATCTAAAAAGTTTTAAACATCTCGATTAATTTTTTATAACAAAATACAAATTGATATTGATCTGAATGGAGAATAAATAAATAAATAAATAAATTGATTTATGAATTAAATTATTTATATACAAAGTCATTTTAAAATGGTAAAATCTATTTGCAAGAAATTAAGTCAAGGAGGGTGAAAAATTGATAAACTGTAAAACATCATTTTGATTTTCTTGCCATATTTAATATGTTTAATATTTTATCTAATGCATTTTCCATTTATTGTGAGACCATACAAAAATTAAAATTTTCGTTATAACTTTATAGATAGAAAGCAAGGACAAGTGCGGACAAATTCCGCAGAGCCTTTCAGTCGCTATCGTACAAAATAATGGAATCAATTAAAACTGCGCGTAAAACGGCCTGACAAAGCGAGATAATCAAATGGGAATCGCTGAGTTAGCAACGGGGGACTTTGCTCTTTCGCAACTCGCAGGGAACAGGAAGGCGCTGAAAGTAAAAAAGTGTCTGTACAAGCGGAGAGCGAACATAAAATTGATGTCTTTCGCTCCTCCGCTGCTGATAAGGATCTTCGCAGTAATCTGCTTCCATCTCCTTTTCCATTAGTACACTGACCCTGGTAAAAGTTGGCGCTCTCCTTTATCCTTTTAGTGTTTTCCATTTCAATCAAATGGCCCACCATTGTCAGCAGAACAAATAAACCTTGTTAATTTCAACCAGGCTCCGAAACAGTGAAATATTAGTTTAACTTAACGACAGGCCCAGACAATTTGTTGCGACAGCCCAACACGCACAAACGAATATTCATCCCTTTGTCGCTAATTCGGAAACGTGCGTTCATTTTCCGCATGCATGCACGGGCAAACTTTTGAATAAATTTCCCACAGAGAACAAACAGAGCCTCCGACGAGATGGACTTTTGTTTTCGTCTAGCCGCATTGGGATAGGAAAATGCAAACATTCCATTGACTCATTAGCCTTCCAAAACGTGCGTGAAACCAACTAAACCAACCATTGTGTAGCAGATAATAATTATATGGACCGCATAAAAGCAAAAAATGCACCGAATTTGGTGCGTCCGCGCTTGCGAAAATTGAGGGTGCGGAATTCGGAATTTCGGTTCGAACCGTAAACCGGAATAATTAAATCGGACTCGGCCGGCGAGTTGTTAAAGTTAATGCAGTCTCTAAATATTTGGGAATTTGCATTTCCGCGAGAGCTGGGGGCGCAGAGGGCTTTGCTTTTGTTCGAGCCCCACTTTCGTTTGCTTTCCTCTTTAAATCCTCCGCCGTTTGATAACAAGGTCGATAGAATTCTATGAGAGGGAATTGATGACGCCGGCCGGCTCTTTCATTCCTTGGCACAAGAGCAGACAAAGCAGCTAGCGGAGGAGCAAAGTGGAGGCATTAATTGAATCAGAATTTTCCTTCGTGGCAAGGCAAATAATACGACTCTTGAGATCTTCCCCGAATTGGTTGCCGAGTGAGAAATTTCCTTGATGGGACTAGAAACGTCGCATTTTAATGCTGCTGGAGGCAAGAATCGTGCAGTTTGAATAATTTAGAGTGGATGGAGAAGGAATTTAAAACAGTCTATAGTGAAATTGAAATATCAAGAAATATCGATCAGTAGCAGAAAATTGTTTGATTTTTTCAAGAGTATTTGCAAAGTGGAATAAAATGTAAGTTTTTATGTTTTTAGTTCAACGAAAAGTGCAGTTTATTTTTTTTTTAAATTTTGTCAAATTTATATTGATAAAAAAAATTAACCATAATTAACAAAAGAATTTTATGACGCAATGTTAATTAAAAAAAAATATCAATATAATAAATCCATAAAATTTGTGTTCATTGCTTGGTTGAAATATTTTCTTGCTTTGCCCAATTTTTATTTATATCTGACTTGGAAAAGGAGCATTTTTTTTATTCAAACAAGCAAAAAACAACGATATTCTTACCCATGAACAGAAGTTTTCCTGTTCCGAGAGGTAATTTTTGGCGGAGGAGCGCTTTTATTTCGGTTGCCTCTGCATGCTCTGGATTTTTTTTGTGCTTATAAATATTTGAATAATTTCGTTGCCAAGGCAGAAAGCAGCTCTCCTGGCCGGAGCAGTCAATTGAAATATTGAGCAGAGGAAGGCAACAACTGTCGTTTTTTTTTTTTTTTTGCGCCCTTCCTACGCAACTAACTTATTAATTCACTTCCTCGACCCGCTTCCACCTCTAGCAGCGTCAAAAAGAGAGGGAAAAAGCAGGTGGTGGTTCAAAGAAGGCGAAGTTTGACAGTGATCAGTGATTTTGCGGGAATTGGGAAAATGCTCTTTTAGAACGAACTAATTGAATTAATTATTTGAAAGAAAAATAGCTCTATTTACACCGGTTAATGAAAGGTAAATTGAAATAGATCAGAACCATACTATTGATATTTTGCTGTCAAATTTCGATAAAAAAAGCATCAGCTTTCCGATAAAAAAATAATAATAAATACATAAAATATATAATTATAATTTATTTCAAGTTTCCAAAAGTGACCAAAGTCCGCATAATTGCAATGGATATTCTTATTATTCATAGGTTCTCAGAACACATAATTTGCGTATGTTACAACTAGGAATAAATTAATTATGAGAAAAAATAAATACTTTTATTCCTTGTCGTTCTGATCGCTACGAATTTAAAAAAAATCCCATTAGTTTTGAATAAACGCTTGTCTGAAATGAATGCTAGAGACGAATCATTTTCCACTCAGCCGCTGGTTTTATCAAAAATCTGGACAACCCATTATTTCTGTGCCAAGTCGGACTCTTAATTGCTTCGCGAGGCGGAGTGAACGTCGACGCTTTTGCAGTTTTAATTAAAATTCAGCCGCGCGTTTTTTGTCTGCTGTTTGTCTGACGGTCAAGCCAAGCCAACCGGCCTCGTTAGATATAATTAATTTTGGTAGCGCTGCTGCTCGTGACGAAAGAACCTGCGCGTCTCTGTCACCCACGCTTATCCTTACTCTCGTTTTCCAAGGACGTCTTGTTCATAATTGGGAGCACCGCGACTTTAATTTGACATGAAATCATCTGGGCGAAATTGCTCTCAATGTAACCATTGAAGCTGCTCTTGATTGGAAGGATTGGAAAGCATGAGCTGCTCAAAATCAGTCTGAAGGGAAACAACTAATTTTGCTTTTGACAACCTGCAATTTGAGACAATTTCATGGACCCCCGTTGCGGTCCCTCTCGGTTGGGGTCTGCATAAATTTGACGAGCAGCATTTGCGTGAAAAATAAGATTTTTGACTTTGGTGAAAAACTGACGCAGCACACGCTTTAATTTTCCCACTCTTGAAATGCGAGCGCTAAAGGTGCTGCTGGAAAGTGAAAAAATTCTCTGCGGGCCTAGCAAATTAAATTTCATATTGCCATCTCATAAAAGATGCACCGCCGCCACTCCACGGCCACCATGTTGATTTTAATTAAAATTTGTTCCCCCGCTCGTCACATTTGCAATTCTGGGAATTGTCCTGGAAAATGCAGCAAACCGTGAGCGTGATAAAAATATACATAACGTACCGAGCTTTGTTCATATTTTGGATTTCATTTAGTGCATGTGTGAATTTTAATTAAAAAAAAAATATGTAGAATTTATTTTTTCCATAATATTCAATTTTAGTTCAGTTAATATTCATAATTGTTTTGAAGATTGCAAAGGAATTATTTATCAAGGATATTATTGCTTTCCTTCAATTGAAAAACTTTCTTGAAAGCAATTTTCAAGCTAAAATTATTTTCAAGGAAAAAACATTTTAAATTCAAAAGCCATTTTTATAACATTTCATTAAAAACAATTTCCCTTTTCTGCTTGATTTTTTAATCGATTTTGTGTGCAAGTATACTTAATTCGGAAGTAGCATAAATTAAAATTGGGCATTTGTTTTTGCAGATTTTGAAAAAGTGAAAATTTTTTCATTTCCAAGTATCGCGCTAGAATAGAAATGTAAATTAACGATTCAACTGTGTAAAAACCGGTAAAAACATTTATTCCTCCAGATCGGATCGTTGAGCTGCTGACAATGTTGAGCATTGAAAATATTTATGGTATTTAATATGCGCGGTGCTGCTGCTAGTTAGTTAGGCGAGCACCTTGAGGCGGACAACATGGCGTGGGCGTGCCTTAAGTACTTTCTGCATTCACTCGACTCGCCAGTCTGCAATTGTCAAGTGCGGTGCTCGCGTGGGAAGGTCCTCCTCACCTCTGCCGTGAACCCTTTTGGGAACATTTGGTGCTTGGCCGGCATTTTTCGCCAATTTATACCCGCGTCAATGATCTATCTCACGCAAATTGTAAGTTAAATTTTTGACAAATAGTTACATTTAATTTGTGTGCATAAGAATTTTCTATAAACAAAGTTTTCTTTACAAAGGATTTTTTTAATTTCAATTTTTAAGTTCATTTACAAAAAAAATTCGTGTCACCATTTATAACTTTCTTACAATAATTATTTTTATTAAATTGATAATCTTTTTAAGTTTTTTCCTGTTATTTTTTATAAAGTGGTAAAGTAGTTAATTACTAAATATTTTTAGTCCCAATTTTAAATAGTTTTGTTATTATATAAATTATTCCAGTTCATACAATGGTATCTCATTCGTCTTGCATTGTTGTGCTTGAATAATGCAAAAGTGTGAGTCGTGAGCTGTGAAATGAAAAAATGAAAGTAAAAATGTTATATAAAATGCAACACGTCTTGATGCAATGGCATGGGTGGGTTTCCGAGAATTTTAGATGAAGTGTTGAATGCAGCAGAGAGTCTGATTATATTCGCTTGCAAGTTTCACGACGTTGACACTGAGAATAAGCGAGCACTGTCTTGTTGTGATGCGTTTGCTCGCGCTCGAAATTGAATAGGCATGAATTACGAGCAAGAAAGAGCAAGAAAAAAGATGCATTCCATGCATACCGACCGAGACTGCGCGCCTGCCTTTCCAGCAATCACGCGTTTCTCATTTCTGTCGAGTCAGTTGTTTTTGTAACAACGCAATAATAAAAAAATACAGGGAATACAGTAATTTTTATTGAAGAAAATTTTAAAATGTTTTGAAGTTATACAGGAGATTTAAACCAAATTATTTCTAAATTTTGTTATTTATTTTTTATTCGAATTTTAGTCGATCTCTGCAATATTTCTGTTTTCCTGTGATGTAACCCCTTCTTCATATCGCCCTTTGAGTCTTCAAACTCAATTACACACCTGGCGACCCTTTCTATTTTCGTCAAATATTCTTAAAAGCATTCGTGAGGTTACTGAAAAAACAAACGCCAGCAGTGTTGTGCGTCCGTGCTTTTAACCAAAATTGAAATTATCCAAGCTTGCCTTGAAAACAGACGCACGGAAACACACCCGACAGCACAGACAAAAAGAGAAAGGCGCTTTAAATTGAATTCCAAAGAAAACATTGCCAAAAGGAACATTGTTTTCGTTCACGGTATAATAAAAAATTTGTATATAACGCTTTGACGCAATTTTGATAGGAGTAATTAATGCTTTAAAAAATTTGGGTCTCGTATTTCATCAATTTGGCAAGTTCATCCAGAGGCAGTTGAAATTCAGAAATTCAAATTAAATAAAAACAAAAAAATTAAACCAAACAACTTATTTTTTTTATAAATGACAAGTGTAACAAATTACATATTTGATATTATTCCCGTTTTTTCAATGAAGTCAAATACAATTTAAATTTCTAGAAATAAAAATCGAAATTTTTTTATTAAAGTTTTGATTTTTTTTACTAACAAAAACAGCTATTTTTTCAAATTTTTTTTAACACGCCAAAGTTTTGTAAAATTATTAACCTTGTTATTCTTGATAACAGCATAATATATTAAAAACGGAATTAATTAACTCACCCTGAATTCCGGAAAAATAACTCCCCTTATTTTCACTTCGTTATATTTTTAGGCTCAGCTGACGTAAAATATGCCAGCAAAGATCGATCTTCCTTGACTTGAAAAGAAGAGGTTGATTAACTAACAAACTTCCAATTCCGCTAATTTCCAACAAGTGTTGATTTTGCACCTGCTCACACAGGTTGGCTCCCAAGAAGGATAACAAGGAAGCTGCAAAGTTGCTCGCAAATGTATATTCGCGCTCCTCGGAGAAAATTAATTTAACCTTGCACAAGAGATGAGAAGCGTTTTTATTATTTTTCCGAGCGCAGAGAGAATGCTCGGCATTTCATTTAGCTGCATTTGAAATTATAATATACACGCCAAGACTTTGTCCGTCGAGAGAGTGATAAATTTGCAGCATCGCGCTGAAAGACATTCTCATTTCGCAGAAAATTATTTAAATAAATGCACCGGCCAACAACAACAGCGTCGCTCTCGCATTATCGCGATGGCAACTCTCTCATCTTTCCGTGCTCTATTTTTCAAGTTGTTTTTTATTTCCCGACTGCTAGGTCAGTGTGCTGAGGGGTGATAAAGTCACAGGAAAAGGCGATTTGCTCCATGCTAATTCTGTAAATCCGAAATTTCCGTCGCACCCTCAAGGAAGAGTCTGATAACTGCTGCAGTGAGTGGCGTCTGCGCGCTGATAAATCACAGTTGCCCTATGTCACTGTTCCACGAAAGTCTCCTCTACATCAACAGACTGAAACTTGATTTTTTTTATTCATTTATTTATTCAGAGTTTATTTATTATATATTAAATACAAGCATTATTTTTTCAAATCTGATTTTATCCAACTGAAAAGCGTTTTATTATTTAATTATTACTAACTCTTTGTTGCTTGAAATTAGAAATTCTTCAATTTTGATCATCTTAACTTCATTTTCCTATTTTTAAAAACCTACAGAAAAATATAAAAACAAATTTATTTGTCTATTTTGTTGATTTTAAATTTACTTCCCCTTTAAAGTTTTTAATTTTGATCCACCCCCTTTTGCCAATCGCTCAAACATTTAGTTCTGACAATGAGATATTTTATTCAATTCAATTCTTTTATTCTCTCACCACATCTAGATAAAAATAAGTGCAATTACATTGGGAGAATTGGCAACCAGCTCTGGTAAACTTATTAAAACTAAAAGGTCTGAACGACTAAAAAAAACCCATGGAGGAACTGCCGTTTTTTTTTTTTAATTAATTACATAATCATAGGTCTAATTTTTAATATATGAAATCTAAAGTATTTCCAATTAAAACTTGGTGTTATAAATTCTACTTATATTATACTGAAAAAATTTAAGGATCTTTTGAGAAAAAATTTTAGCTAGAAACGTATTCATGTAAAGAAAAAAAAAACAAACGTTACAATTTCCAAAATTAAATAAATAAATTTCGACTCCACAGGAGACTTTTATTAAATTACGGGAAAAATATTCATTGTGGATTCCAAAGGCGACCCGCAGTCTCGCCAGGCAGGTCGAGGGGAAGCAATATTGAGGCGTCAGTTCCGCCGCCGCCGCCGGTGCTGCACCTCCTGCTGAATAATAACATAATAATCGCGGCGAAAATTCAATTTGTTTCGCAAATCAGGCGCGAAATTCAGCTTGCGCGGCAGCTATTTTGTGCGGCTGTTGCATTTCAATAAAAGCGGGGAGATGGAGCGTCGCGTGCAAAAACGCAAATCCCCGTGGGATGCACCCAAATGTGCGCGGTGAGCGCGACATTTTTGCCCGAAATAAATGCGGGAAACGTATTTCGCTGGCGGAAAAAAATTTATACATTTATGGCGAAATTGCGCAGCTTTCGATTTTCATACAGCTAAATAACTCTGTCGGTTTGCGGAATCACGGCGCGGCGTGCGTGCCTTATTTATCTTTATTTGCAGTGTGTGTATTTGGAGCAAATCCGCCCGCAAACACGCATTCGGCCTGGCCGGGGTCCTAATGCAAGACGGCGGGGGCTCAACTTTGGGTATGCGTGTCACGAAGTGTGAGCGGCGGCGGCGGCGCGCAAACACACGCACGCTTGCGTCTCTTCTTCTTCTTTTAGTTTGGCCCCGAAATTCTGCGCGCCGTAGAGAACAGTTTAGAGTGACGTGGGGGATTATTATGCCGGTTGCTCATAAGCACTCACTCCTGATAACGCCAAAATAACAACCGCATGCGCCGCCAATAACTCTCCGCAAACTAAACTCGTAACAATTTGCCGCCCTCGAGCTCATAAATAATTTTTGCATCGGAAATTGAGCCCAATTCTGCCTGCAGCAGCAACAATTGGTGTTTTTGTCACAAGCCAATATAATGAAAACTATAGGAATTTTATTAACAATTTAGTTTTTTTTTGTTGCCTCAAACTTTGCGGACAGGAGCTATGAAAATTATTTTAATTATCCAAATGAATTGAATTTATACGCTGTAAAATATGTTTTTTTAGAAGCGAAACCTACGTGCTGAAATTTTCACATTTTGGTTATTATAATTACCTGCGGTTGATAAACAAATTCTCTTTTGCTCTAACATTTAAAGTTTATAGTTCGAAAATTCGGATTTAACTCCGAACAAAATATTCTGGTGCCATTTCCATTTTGACTATCGCAATCACCACAATTCAATCGTTGAATTTTTAACAAAATTGGCAATTATTCTAAATGGGAAAATTGGCACCGCACTACGTTTTTGCGTAAATGATTGGGTGAAGGTGCGTGCCTAATTATTTATACGTCTGTTATTCCTTCTAAAGCCTGCTTTAAAAATTATATAATTACTCCAACACAACAACAAGAGTCTTTAAAAATTCATCATAATTAAGAAAAAAATTGTCTTTTAAAGCTACTTTTTATGATGAGCCTAACAAAGAAAGCTCCATTATTTGATGAAAATGCCAGCAAACAATAACCTTTTGTGGATAATTAGTAAGAAGATATTCATGAAAATAAATTTGTGTAAAGCTACTTCAATTTTTTGCTTACAAAACAAAAGCTTCTGAGCTTCCGTTTATGTTTTAGTTAAAAAGAAACAAAACATGAATTATTTTTAATACCACATGAAATATTTTAAACAATATTTTATTTCTAACTAAATGTTTAATTGACTGAGAAGAATAAATAATCATAATTTAAATCTTATCTTTCCTAAAAAAAAAGGGAAAATTACATTGAAATACAAAAATAATATAATACTTAGAATCCTTAAAATCTAGAAGTGTTATATAATCCTGGTGTTCGAATTTAAATTTATCCTTTCCTCAAATTAGAATAGGAGAAATTCTAATTAAACACGATGAATAAACCCTGGACTGTTAAATTTTTCTACGAAATAAATAATTAATGTAATATTCTGTTTTCCTTCTTTCAAATATATCCACTCCAAAAGTATTAAAATCTAAAATTTACAT